TTTTCTAGCACGTATGATATAATGTCTTTCGCGGCATCCCTATAATTCGAACAACAAATCTCTATTTTATGAAAAATTGAAGCTGAGTCATGATATCAATTGGCCAACTTGTTCTATTTGTACCATAATTTAGTGAGTAAAGCCCCTTGAACAATCCTCTGGATAACCCTGTAATTGTTTGGCACCCCGTATTGGGGGGTGTCTAGCTGTCTGCGCGTGGTAGGCAATCCTCCATGTTGTTTGGAAAGAGGAGGACTCAATGATTATTTGTTCACCGAAACTAGAAGTCAAAATTTTGGTGGATAGAGATCCTGTAAAAACTTCTTTCGAGGAATGGGCCAGATCGGGCACTTGGATCTGGAACCCACATGCTAATGCTCACAATTTCGATAGCCATACCAGTGATTTCGATTATAATTTTCCGTGTGATGACTCGAGATGTGGGGTACTTTGATATTTCGACATGGGACGCATTTTTTTTTTTTTACGTTTTATCCAGTGGATTCTTTCAAGGGACATGGCCCTAATTCAGCTTGCACCAATAAAATATTTTAAACCATTTATGTAGGATCATTAAACGCAATAACTTGTACGCATCATACAGACCTTTAGGCCGTGTTTGGTACCCATTTTTATAAGATTGAGAACAAAAAATATAGTCGTTACGGGACTCACACAAGAGATAGAAAGTTTGACTTGATGTGACGGTCATCTTTTTTATTTTTATGCCAAGAATGAGAATCAAAATGTTTGGCCCCATTTTTTTGTGGAAATGAAAATTGGCAGAATAGTGTTTTTTGGAAAATGAGAAATTGAAAAAGAATGAAAAGTTTTTTTATTTATGTGTAATATTGTTGTGAAAAGTGAAGAAAAGAGAAAAGTCAATAGACTTGTGTATGTTTTATTAAGAACCAAAGCTCTGTATTTATAGGGCTGAATCATGGATACAACAGTAATAAATTATTGGGTTGCAGAGGTGTAATTGTCATTCACCTCTAAACCATAATAAAATTTCCTATTACAACACTTCTCATTGAATGACATATTACAGAATATCTGCCTCATTAAAATCTTATTTGATAAAAATCCAATGAAAAAACTCAAATGAAGGAAAAAGAGTACAATTATTTTGGAGTACTAAAAATAAATGTTACCTCATTAAAACCTTGTTAGGAAAATCCAGTGGGACAAAACATAAGTTAAGGAAAAAGAGTACAGTTACTCCTCTTGATGTTGATCACTGAAAATCTTTGAGTCGACGCATTCCAATCTCATGAACTAATTTCTTAAATGTAGATATTGACAGTGCTTTTGTGAATAAATCAGCCACATTATCACTTGAGCTAATTTGTTGGATATCGATGTTGCTATTCTTTTGAAACTCATGTGTATGAAAGAATTTTGGAGAAATATGTTTCGTCCTATCACCTTTGATATAGCATCTTCTAAGTTGCGCAATACAAACTGCATTGTCTTCATACAAAATTGTTGGACTATCCTTTGTTGAAATTAATCCGCATGATGCTTGGATATGATGGGTTATGTTTCTCAACCATACACGTTCTCGGCCTGCTTCATGGATTGTAATAATTTCAGAATGATTTGAAAATGTAACTGTCAGGGATTGCTTCACAGATTTCTATGATATAGTCGTTCCTCTACGTGTAAACACATAACCTGTTTGTGATTTAGTTTTATGTGGGTCAGATAGATAGCCTGCATTTGCATATCCCACTAAAGCAAATCTCGATTTTTTAGAATAAAATAATCTCAAATCAATAGTACATTTTAAGTAACGAAAAATATGTTTAAAACCATTCCAATGTGTTTGAGTTGGTGTAGAGCTATATCTTGTAAGAAGATTTACAGAAAAAACTATGTCGGGTCGAGTGCAATTTGCAAGATGATTTAATGCTCCAATTGCACTAAGATATGGTGCTCGGGACCAAGAACTTTTTCTTCATCTTCAAGTGGACAAAATTGATCTTTTTTCACATCAAGTGATTGAATAACTATAGGTGATGCCAATGGATGTGCATTATCAATGTAAAAACGTTTTAAAACTTTTTCTGTATACGTAGATTGGTAAACAAATAATCCATCTGCGAAATGTTCAATCTGCAATCCAAGACAAAATTTGATTTTTCCCAAATTTTTCATCTCAATTTCATTTTTCAAATAATCAGCAATTTTGTTCAGCTCTTCAAGAGTTCCACTTAAATTTAAATTATCAACATAAACTGCCACAATTGCAAATCCATTATTTGTTTTCTTTATGAAAACACATGGATAGAAATCGTCATTTTTATAACTCTCGTTCAACAAATATTTGTTAAGGCGATTATACCACATGCGTTCGGATTGTTTTAATCCATATAATGATCTTTATAATTTAATTGAGAACATAGTTGTCGGGCATGTATGGTTTGTTCCTTGTACCTTAAGTCCTTCAGGGACTTTCATATATATGTCACTATCAAGTGAACCATACGAATATGCAGTTACTACATCTATAATGCGCATATCAAAATTTTATGACACAGTCAAACTAATTAAGAATCTAAAAGTGATGGTGTCCATTACGGGAGAATATGTTTCCTCGTGATCAGTTACTGGTCTTTGTAAGAAACCTTGAGCTACTAGTCGGACTTTTTACCTCTTAATTTCATTATTTTCATTTTTCATTCGTACAAAAATCTATTTGTATCCAACATAAATTACATTTTCAGGTGTTTGAACTACAGGTCTAAACACTTTTCGTTTCTCCAAAGAATTCAATTATGCCTGTATGACTTCTTTCCATTTTGACCAATAATTTCTATTTTGACAGTTTTTAACCGACCATGGTTCAAGATCTTCATTTTGTATAATATCAAGAGCTACATTAAAGGTGAAAATATTGTCTATAACAACATTATTTCTTCTCCATAATTTATGAAATAACATATAATTTATTGAAATATCATTATTTTCGAACACTTGTAACTCTTCAGGAACCGTATTTTCAATATCTGATTGATCAATTTTTTCTAATGTGATTTCTTCCAAAATTTTTGGTTGGTTTTTCTCATGAACTTTTATTTTTCGAGGTACAGAGTCTTTTGAACCAATTGGTCGACCACGTTTCGGACGTATTAGAAATTCATTTGTTACAGCAAATTGTCTTACATGTACATCAATTTTTATTGGAATATTTTCTGTTGGAACATGACTTTGTCACTTTTCTTGTGCCAACAAATACATCGGGTAATTGATTTGCAACTCTTTGCAAATGAATGATTTTTTTAACCTCTTGCTCACATTGATTGTTACGGGGATCAAAATGAGATAGGCTTGTTTCATTCCAAGAAATTTTACCATATTTTTCAGGATGCAGTTTTTCCCCTTTCAAAGTTGGAAAAGTTATTTCATCAAAATGACAATTTGCAAAACGTGCAGTAAATAAATCATCCATTAAATATTCGAGATACCTAATAATTGATGGTGAATCAAAACCCAAATAAATCCCAAGCCTTTGTTGGGGACCCATTTTAGTACGTTGTGGGTGGTAAAATGGGGACTTGGACTGCGCAACCAAAAATTCGTAGGTGAGAAATGGTTCGTGATCAAATGCCAGTTGCAAATGTGAATATTGATAATATGCAGTTGGTCTAATACGAACAAATGATGCAGCATGTGATATAGCATAACCCCAAATAGAAATTGAGAGTTTTCTTTTCATAAGTAATGATCTAACAATAAGTTATAAACATTTAATAGACGATTCTGCCGAACCATTTTGTGTACGGACATGTATAACTGAATGTTCAATCACAATCCCGATTGACATACAATAATTATCGAATGCTTGTGATCTAAATTCACCAAAATTGTTAAGGCGAATAATTTTAATTTAGTAATTGAGAAATTGCTTTCATAATTTTATAATTTGAGCAAGTAGTCTAGCAAATGCTACATTCCTAGTGGAAAGTAGGCAAACACGCGACCACCTAGTAAAAAAATCAATTAATATCATAAAATAACGATATGGTCCACATGGTGGGTGTATTGACCCACATATATCACCATGAATTCTTTTCAAGATAGTTGGAGATTTAATATTGACCTTTATAGTTAAAGGTCTAATAACTAACTTGCTTTTCGAACAAGCTACACATGGTTAATCATTAGGTAAAAGAATTTTCTGGTTCTTTAAAGGATGTCCATGTAAATTGTTTATTATTCGACGCATCATTATACCTCTTGGATGTCCAAATCGATCATACTAAAATATAAAACTTTTTGAGTCAACGAACTTCTAGTTCGCGATATTATTTGATTCAACCATTTTTATAAATGTATAATACATGTCAAATGGGAGTGCATAAAATTTTTCTTTATCTGCTTCTGACTAGATATAAAAGAAGTTATGCAAAGATATTTGATATTATTTTCTTGTGTACATCCATTGCTATGGATATCTTTAAAACTAAACAAATTTCTTCTGGATTTGTTAGAATAAAGTACATCATTAATATATATTTTTGTATTATTTAACAAAATAATATAAACTCTTCCGGAGCTTTTAACGATATTTGATGCAGTTGATATTGTATTGACATTATTTTTTTTTAATGTTAAGTCCAAAAAATATTTTTTGTCTTGAAAAATAGTATGTGTAGTTGCACTATTAATCAAGCAAGTGTTTTGACAATAAATTTGGAAAATATTTTTTCGTACTGATAACGTGTTGTGAAAAGTGAAGAAAAGAGAAGAGAGCAGAGAGATGTCAATAGATTTGTGTATGTTTTATTAAGAATCAAAATTCTGTATTTACTGGGCAGAATCAGGGATCAACAGTAATAATTTTCAGGACAATAGGGATATTATTATCATTTAGAATGAAAAATCATAATAAACTAACTTTTTATAATAAATATTATTTGATAAGAGATTGTATGGTTGAAAAAAAATTAAATGAAAATTAATGGGGGCGACCGGGGAGTTAGTAATCGAGGAAATCATAAAATATCCAAATTCTCCCAAATTTCATTCTGGAATAATCGCGTATTCCAAATACCAAATTCAAACCGCGCCACAGGCTTCCTCTCTCTATCTTCACCCTCAGATTTCAATCCATCGATTATTTTTCGGAATTAAATCCATTAATCAGTTAAAAGATAATTACTGATCAGTTCCATGGCGGAAGAGCAAGCAGAGGTGTCGAATAATGTGTCGGCGGCGCTGGGTCACTCAGTAATACCGATTGTGAACAAGCTACAGGATATCTTCGCTCAGCTTGGAAGCCAGTCCACGATCGAATTGCCGCAGGTGGCGGTAGTTGGCAGCCAGAGCAGTGGGAAATCTAGTGTTCTGGAGGCGCTCGTAGGGCGCGATTTCTTGCCTCGAGGAAATGATATCTGCACTCGCCGCCCTCTCGTGCTGCAACTCGTGCAGAGGAAAAGGAAGGGGGACGGGAATGACGAGGAGTGGGGGGAGTTCTTGCATTTACCGGGGAAGAGGTTCTTTGATTTCAATGAAATCAGGAAAGAGATTCAGGTGATTTTTGAATATATTATTTTATTGTAGCAGTACCGTAAACAAAGATTTAAAAATTTTGTGTTCCTAAAATCGTCAGTGGGGCTGGAAAATTAAAGTAATTAGTACGTGCCTGGATATTAAAAAAAGAAAAAGAAAAAAGAATTAGGGGATTGGGCATAATCTTTGAATTTCAGTGAAACTGGCAGGAAATTTTGGTAAAATGTATGGAAGGTTATTTTTCCTTTAACTTGTAGCGCTTAATTGAAATGATTGAAATTTCTCATACTTCGTTTGATATGATCGTGAAACTAGGGCAATCAGTTTGTGTGTGTGTTTGGAGTGAAAGGTGGGAATTGGAATTCAAAAGAAGGAAGTTGGATGCTAGCTTTGAATTTTAGTGAGGCCACAATGAGGCTGACTTAATTTTTTCGGAAGAACTTGGCACTTTTGGTATGATTAAAATAAAATATGTGCCTGTCGGCACGTGCAATCACCAGGGTATTTAACTTGGAATTTATCTTTAATGAACATGCTATTGGGTTGCACTTATGATAGTAATATTACATTGTTGTGTTTTATCGGGCAGGGCCATCATGCTGTATGTTGTAGGAGAGGTTTATTTGTAAAAATTTGTTTTAATGGAGGAGTTTTAGCTTATTTTAGTGACTGCTAGACACTTTGGGAATTCCTTGTTGTACAATACAGAAGTACTATTGGATTGGCCTATGATACTGTGGTCACTTTTTGGGGGTCCGATATCCTATTTTCTAGGTTCTTAAAAACCTCGTGCAAATATAGGCATCATTGTTTATTTCTCTTTCCCACAAACCTCCACTTTAAAGAAGGAGGAGTGGGTTTTGAGTTTACAGAATATATGGATTCCAAGTCCGATGACAACTGTGAGTCCCTTGGGGGGGTGTGGAACTCCTAAATGTAAGAGAGCATTTGTGTATTATTCCCTATTTTTTTTAATCTCAAACAACATATTTTATTCTTTGCTGCTCAGTCCTGCATGGTTAGACATTTCAAGTCCTTATGATGTCTAAATGCCAAATTAGACCCATCAATCTGATGCAGCAACCTTGTGATTATTCTTGGTGCTATGCATATTTGGTATTCTACATATTAGCTTGCATTTTTCGAAAAAGTATGAGCAAACTCTTCTTCTAATTCTCTTGTTGGATGTGTGGAGCCTAATTATATTGCACACTTGCTCTCCGCAGTTTGGTGTACGGGCCAGCACCCTGGTTTGGTGGTTCCCCTAGGCGAACTTTTTTTAGTGATATAAGGGTATTTTGGGAGGTTTGCATGTGTATTAGATAGTGCTAATATTTCCACTCATATAAGGATATTAGGGAGGGCCTCTTTTCTGGTGGTGTAGAGAGAGACATATAGGCGTCAAGTGTTCGTAACTAATCGCATAGAGAGTAAATGACTCTAAATTGTGTTTTCTTTTTCTTGTATTCATTTTTGTTTTGTGCTATTTATTGCTCTCAGTAATATGGATGAATTTTTTAATCCATAACACTTAAAACATGCACTGATGTATTTTTCAGTTTTCACCTAGATTTGGGCTAGTGCCTCTGTCTCTCGTTTCTCTTTTACCTGAAAATGGAATGCTATCTTGAATTGCAAAGAAACGATCTCTGTTTAAGTATCTGAATGTTTGCCTTCTATTTGAAAAGCCGCTTGAATCATGAAACGCTCACCCAGGCCTGGACCTTATTAATACACACTTGAAATATGCGTTCTAAACCTTGTGGAATTTTCTACTTTTTCAAAATATATTTATTTTCTTCTTGTTTGGAATAGGTCTACCATGCACCTGTCTGTTCAATCGGAAAACTTATTTGATATGCTACTATAATGAGTGGGTTGCCATAGGAGTCGAGTGAGTTTATTCATTGTTGACCCCAGAGGGAAATCAAATTGCAAGTGATAAATTTTGTTGCTTTAGCTGTGAAAGTGCTCTTTTATCTTCCAGTTTTATTAGATTTTGATAATAGGCTTCTTCGTAGTTCCTTATGTACAAATTTGTGTAGGCTGAAACTGAGAGAGAAGCAGGAGGAAACAAAGGCGTTACAGACAAGCAGATTCGTCTGAAGATTTTCTCACCAAATGTTCTCGATATCACTCTCGTGGATTTGCCGGGTTTAACTAAAGTTCCTGTGGGTGATCAGCCATCTGATATTGAAGCACGTATTAGAACAATGATAATGTCATATATTAAACTTCAAAGTTGCTTGATACTGGCTGTTACACCAGCAAATTCTGATTTAGTCAACTCAGATGCTCTCCAGATGGCTGGAATGGCTGACCCGGATGGTAGGTTCCTTTTTGTATTAAGAATTTTGCCACTGAACGGAATTTTTTTCATTTCAAGAATATCATTGCTGTTGAATTCAAAAGCTCATGCATCTAAGTTTCTGCTTGCAGGTTATCGAACAATTGGTGTAATTACTAAGGTGCAATGTGTTTACTATGAAGATGTCATCCATTTAATTGCCTTTTGATGTTCTTATACTTTTATCTACTTTTCTGAACCTGGCTTTTATGTTTTCTTTACTGCTTAAGCTGGATATTATGGACAGAGGAACTGATGCCCGCAACTTTTTACTTGGAAAAGTGATCCCTCTTCGACTTGGATACGTAGGTGTTGTGAATCGTAGTCAGGAGGTAATAGTTATACTTTCCCTTTGACAGTGTTTGTTTTCTTTTTGCCTTGTCTTGTTTCTTTTTGTAGACTTCTGAGTTGGTTGGTCATTGTTGTGCTTAAACAGGATATATTAATGAATCGGAGCATCAAGGATGCACTTATAGCTGAGGAGAAGTTCTTTCGTAGTCGTCCGGTGTCACACTACTCTTCCATTATTAGTTGATATCTCATCCTTCATTATTGATCACTCTGCTCACAGAAATATTTTCTGTAGGTATATAGTGATCTTGCTGATCGTTGTGGGGTCCCTCAGTTGGCAAAAAAATTAAACCAGGTACATAGACTGAGATGAGTTCTCATGTACCATGACTTTCAAAGTAGATGGCCTGGTTAAGAAAATGCTCTTCTTTTGATTAATTTGGTCTCTGGTAGAACATATTTCTGATTAATGTATTCTATCTCACATGCAGAGAATAATGCTTTCTAGTGCATGATACATGAATGGTCTAATCAGCTAGTTATATATGCTTTCCCATGTGGAGGCATACTCCTTAAAGGGTATACACATGCCTATAAAATGACTAATGGCATACCCTTTTTGTTGCTTAATTTGCACGAGACTGCACATAATTGCCATGAAACTCGCTGCGATCTAATATTTGATTTGGAGAACAACAAATGTTAATGATTGTTTATTATGAAAGTTTTTTTTTAATGTCAGGATATGACATTATCTTTTTCTCTTTTTATGCAGATACTTGTACAACACATCAAAACGATTCTTCCAGGGTTGAAGTCACGCATCAGTGCCGCATTGGTTTCTGTTGCAAAGGAGCACGCTAGCTATGGAGAGATCACTGAGTCAAAGGTTTCTTCTTATATCTTGTTCGATGATTTTTGCTTGAATTTATTGGGCATACTAAGTGGAAGAACCTTTCGTGTAGGAAAGATAATAAATTTTATGCTTTAATTTTTTTCTTGCTGGTCAATTATCCTTAATAAGTGAGTATTAGCATTTGCAAACTGCTCACAGTTTATGCCATAATCTAGGACTTTTTGCATTGAGGTTAACATTTTTTTCCACTGCGATCAATCTTCAGAATGGGTTCTTTGATGTTTATTTATTATTTATTAATTAATTAATTATTTTTTTACTTTCCATTTGTGGCAAACAGGCCGGTCAAGGAGCGCTCCTACTGAACATTCTTTCCAAGTATTCTGAAGGTAATTGGCCTCTATTCTTCTTTTTCCAAACATAACTGTTCAATTATATTCATGTTCTTAGTTGATTCTTCATTGAACTCCGTAATGTTTGCTTGTAGGGCTATAAACGTTATATCCTTAACGTGTCTCATAAATGATCCAAACTGAACGTGACTTGTTTTTGAACGTAATAGTATTACAATGTACTGACATACTTAAAGTGTTATCTTATCTTTTAGCACAATAAAGCAAATGGATCACAATAACCATTCGTTTATAATCATAAATTTTCCCCCGATTACTAGTTCCTCTTATTAATAAAAATTTCTTCTAACATTCTGCAAATTGAGTTGCGAATGAGAATGTATTTTTGTACTTCACATTCAAGTTAGCCATGAATAATTTATTTTAACATTGAACAAATGAACAGAAATGTCGTATTTGGGCTCATGTAATAAGGGATCTGAACATGACCTACTTCCAACTTTTGTTAGCCTTAATTTCACATGACATCCTGTCCCCAAATAATTATACTTAATGATAGCACTTATAGATGGAATTGCTCTTTTTGTTTTGGAAACAGCATTCTCTTCGATGGTAGAAGGAAAAAATGAAGAACTGTCAACATCCGAGCTGTCTGGTGGAGCAAGAATCCATTACATTTTCCAAAATATATTTGTAAAGAGCTTGGAGGTTCGTATTGTCCATTTGAACATTGCTGACATGGCTCGTTTTTCTGAGATTGTGGATTTTATTGTAAATTATTTTCCAACTAAAAATGGTGAATGTGGTTGAGTGTTTATAACCAGTCCTTTATACGATGTACAAGCCATCACTGCAAAAACTATAGTTGTACAGATAGAGAGAGAAATACAAAGATTTTGGGAAACGGGAGGGTAAAAGGTATACTAAGAAAATAAAAAGAATGATTCCAAACATTAAATGAAAAATAGCATTTGCTTCCCCAGCCAATGGAGGCACTTTGGTGAATTGCTTACGAATAAAATTTCTGTAAAGGCCATTTAGATTTTTTGCCCTTCGTTTTTTACTGTGGCAGGAGGTTGATTTCAAACATTAAATGAAAAAAACCGTTTCCTTCCCCAGTCAATGGAGGCACTTTGGTGAATTGTTTATGAATAAAACTCTGTAAATGCCATTTAGATTTTTAGCCCTTCGTTTTGTACTTTGGCAGGAGGTTGATCCTTGTGAGGACCTAACTGACGATGATATCCGCACTGCTATTCAAAATGCAACTGGTACCAAATCTGCATTGTTTGTGCCTGAAGTAGGTTCTCAATACCAACAATCTATTTTCACCTGTGCTGTACCTTTGATTTTTCAACAATCTGAGTGCTCTCTTTTTCTTTTCTTTTCTTTTCTTTTCTTTACTTTTCCTTTATATTTTTAGGCCTTCTATCTGATGTTTTAGCATGCAAAATGCATCCAAACTTGTAGGTTCCCTTTGAAGTTCTTATTAGAAGACAAATAGCTCGCTTGTTGGATCCAAGTCTTCAGTGTGCTAGGTTCATTTATGACGAGCTAATAAAGGTACATCTTGCTAATAAATTTCTCATGCATTTTAGGCTCATTTATTTTTGCACCTGGTCATTAACTTAATGCTTTCTATTAGATGAGCCACCGATGTATGGTCAATGATATGCAACGGTTTCCAGTCTTAAGAAAGCGCATGGATGAGGTTATAGGTAATTTTTTGCGAGAAGGGCTTGAGCCTTCAGAGACAATGATAGGACACATTATTGAGATGGAGGTACATGCGACTCCTTTATGGCTTTCCGTCTTGTATTTCTGCAGTATTGAGATACGTACCTTCAATGAATAGATTTCAAGAGCTGCTTGGTGTAATCTGCTAGCGTTGTACAGTAAACCTATTTCAGCGATTCTTCTTTCATGAATTGTGGTTAATTTCTTCATTCTTGTTTCTTTTGCTGATTTCATAAAGCAATCCCTTTCCAGGCATAGTGATATTCGGTGCGAAGTACACAACTATGAACCCAACATTTTTCTAAAAGAGAATAGCAACTTCACTCTCCATCTCTCTTAACACATTGCTACCCCCTCCCTTCTTCAGGTTTTGGGTGCAAAATACACTTTTGAGCCATCAATTTCAACCATTCTTTTCCTATCCTATGGCTTGTCATCATTTTTAATATTGATTATTCTAGATAATGTGGAATTGATATGTACTTCACTTGCCAATTTGTTGTGATCATTAGAGTTTACCTCGTTGAAGTCTGAATTTGGGGATAGACATATTGTCCTCTTTAACAGTTTAAGCTTTTAGATGAATTGGTTAGCGTGTTTTATGACTCATCTGAGGCAAGATCTTATTGTTGCATAGTCTTGTGCTAGACAATGTCTATCCTCACAGAAAGTGCATAGACACTTTACAAAACGACTTCTTCTTTGAAGAATAAAGAGGGATCATAAAAGGGCTGGTCTTCCTCGGTATTCCTATAATCTATAAGGATATTAAGAACCCCTTAATTGAAATAGAAAATTTTAGGAGAATTAGACCGGAATTTTTTTTCAATCATTTGGATCCCTTTCCTTTTGAAATACAAACATGTGAATCATTGAAATATGACTTGGGTTCAAGTCTTGCAGCCATCCATTTTCTGAATGTTGTGCATATGTTAGATCTTTGATGGGAAAAATGAACTCGGCCTGCACGTGAGGTGTGTGTGGAATGACAAAATGAATACATGTGGCCTTCTACTAACAATTTAAACTAAAGTCTACTTGAGGCGAAACGAGTTGAAAATAAAGACTTATCTTGACCTAGAAACTGAAAAGGGTATTCTGAGCAATTGCAATAATCGGGTTCATTGATATTCTTGGTATACGATGGAACTGTTTGATCTTAAAGGAGATCTTCTGTAATTTTGCTAGTTGTATTATTCACATTCTTTCCATTTTTTTTAGTTATTATCTTTTTCATTCTTATCTGCTAGAAGTTTCTAAAGAAGAGGACTTGAATTTTTCATTTTATTGACGTTTTATTATTATTGAATCAGAAATATATATTTTCTTCCTCCCATTTCTTCTTCTCTTAGATTCCTTTCTTTGTTATGTTTTCACAAATTGTTAAAAAAAATAAAATAATTCAAGTTTGCTCGGTAAATGTTTCCTTCGGTTCTTTTTCTTGTTTGATGCAACCCTTTTTTTACTTTCTGCATGATTTATGATGCTAGAAATGACATAAATTTGCTCAATATTTTACCTCTTGTTGCAGTTAATAGTGCCTTAAGTTGTGTTGGATTTTATGCTCAATATTAAAGAGATGAAAATGAAAATCAACACAAGAATTTTTACGTGGTTCGGCGATGTGCCTACGTCCACGAGAGCAAAGCGGAAATTTTTTTATTCAGTTGTGAAAAATAGGGTTACAACATATTTTTATACTAATGCTAGCCTGGGCTCATATAAGACTTTAATGCCCGTACAGAAAATACCCTTGTACCATACTGCGGGGGCGTTGCCCCCGCACCCCCAACCCATTCAACGTCCTTTCGATGCGCTCCGCTCCTCTCACTCCACTTCGCTCCGCACTGGCATCGACCCATTTGATCCAGGGCCTATGTTTCACTCTATATAAGCCACATGCACAGCAAGTTGTTTTAAGTTTTTTTTTAAGGTAATTTATAGGTAACTCATCTAATTATTGTGCTTTTTTCTGTCTTCTGTAGATGGATTACATAAACACTTCTCATCCCAATTTTATTGGTGGGAGTAAAGCTGTAGAAATGGCAATACAACAGGTCAAGTCCTCCAGGGTTGCTGCAGTGATTCCCAGGCAGAAAGTAAGTATTTACTTGCCTGAACCGACCTATTTGCTATTTGTTTGCTTAATAAGATTGCATGGATTAATTCATGTTTTGCATTTCTCAATTAGGATACAGGAGATTCAGACAAAGCACCAAATTCTGAGAGAAGTGTGAAATCTCGTGCTATTCTTGCCAGGCCTGTGAATGGAATAGTTCCAGAGCAGGTAAGTCTTCTATTGGTACCGGATCCTCCTTGGAACCCACATATCTTCTTTGTCCTCCAGTGCTGTTGACTTTCTAAATAAAACTTTTGAATTTTTTGTTCTAGTAATGCTATTTGTTTTTTCAGTCTTTGCATGACAAGCAGGGTGTTAGACCTGCTGCAGAAGTCGAGAAAACTGCACTGCCTGGTAATTTTTCTCTCTTTTTGTTTGAGAAAAAAATTATTATCTTGTGTTATTATTCCCAAATATATTGGGAATAAAGCTTAGTTTGTTGTTGTTGGATTCTTTCTCATTTGGCTGAGCTGGCTATGGCCGCCCATCCCCTCCATTGGGGCCAACCTGTTTCTCTATTAATCACTTAGTGGCAATAACTATCATGAAGACCAAATGATGCAATATTTTATGCTTAACCAGTAAACAGTTCTAGTTCGACCTGGGGAATATCATCAATATTTGGCGGCTATGACAATCGCACGTCTGTTAGAGAGAATTCGACTAGCAAGCCATTTAGTGAACCTGTTCAGAGTGTGGAGCACAGTATTTCAGTCATTCATCTGAGAGAGGTATGTTCGTGGGTTATCCTTTCCAGAATATTTGTTGGATTTGGTCATTGAGATTTATGTCTTTGTAAATGGGCTAACAAGTTCTGCACTGTTTTTCTTGAAGCCCCCTGCTGTCTTGAGGCCTTCAGAAACTCATTCAGATGATGCTATTGAGATTGCTATTACCAAGCTTTTATTGAGGTCATATTATGACATTGTTCGGAAGAACATTGAAGATTCTGTACCTAAAGCAATTATGCATTTTCTGGTAATTGGTTATAGTTTTATGTGAACTTTTGACTTCATTTTCTCTTGTTTTGCTTTCTTTTAAATTTTTAGCCATGGATTTACAGCCTATTTGATTCCTTTTAATTTACTTTAATTTATTTTCTATGCTAATTTACAACCATACATTCACACAATAAAATATTGTAAATGTAAACCCAAATTTTTTTCTTAACCACTCATTCTGAAAAAAAAAAACACTATGTTTTTTTAATTTTTAAGGCCGCCAAACAGGGGCTTAACCACCATAACTTGTACTATTCACATAGGTGAACCCCCGTTACCCCACCCAAAATAATAATAATAATAATAATAATAATAATAATAATAATAATAATAATAATAATAATAATGATAATAATAATAATAATGATAATAATAATAATAATGATAATAATAATAATAATGATAATAATAATAATAATGATAATAATAATAATAATGATAATAATAATAATAATGATAATAATAATAATAATGATAATAATAATAATAATGATAATAATAATAATAATGATAATAATAATAATAATGATAATAATAATAATAATGATAATAATAATAATAATGATAATAATAATAATAATGATAATAATAATAATAATGATAATAATAATAATAATGATAATAATAATAATAATGATAATAATAATAATAATGATAATAATAATAATAATGATAATAATAATAATAATGATAATAATAATAATAATGATAATAATAATAATAATGATAATAATAATAATAATAATAATAATAATAATAATAATAATAATAATAATAATAATAATGATTATAAAAGAAGAAAAATGAAGTGGGTAGGGGGTATTTTTTGTGTGAAAGTGGATTGGTAGTGTGTACTCATTATAGTTTGGTCTTTAAAAAATATTGCATTAATTCACCAATATGTTGTTTGAATTTGGAATAAATGTTTTTTTTTAGCAGATAGCCTTTTTATTTTTGAAAAGAGAATTTGATTATTCTCCTTGGATATGTACCTGTAAATGCTTGCAATCCGATTTCTGCGTTTGCAGATTTAAAGCTATCTACAATACTTTTGTGGTTTGACTATCATTGTTGTCTCTTCATGAATAATAATATCCCTGAGTTTCTGTAACCCGGAGGGGTAACTCAGTGGTCAGACCTTGGGTTTGCTCCCAAATGGACACCAGTTTAAGTTCCCTCAGGGCCACTGAGGTGAGTGCTCGGCTGTAAATTTTAGGGTCCTGTAAGATTAGTCAAGGTGCGCGTAAACTGGTCGGACACTCATGGTTATCAAAAAAATAAAAAATAAAAAATTATCCCCGTGTTTCTGTGCCCGTTTCTATCTCAGTTGTTCAAATATCATTTATGAGTGCCATCATTTTTATTTATTTTTATCCGTCTTCCAGGTAAATCACACAAAACGTGAGCTCCACAATGTTTTTATCAAAAAGCTTTACAGGTATATTCTATTTTTAAGAATTTATTAGTATGGTCCATAGGATGCCCAATGGAACTTCAAAATAGTACTTGCATCTTGGTGTGTACGAAAGAGGAGAGCAGCCTGTGGCCTTTTTGTACTTAAATCTTGACTAGTAATTGGTTCAGTTGACGGTGTATACGATATATTTGTCATTTACAAAAATTGTTATGTTCATATGTTAATGTTATGTATGGAGCAGGGACAACTTGTTCGAAGAGATGTTGCAGGAACCTGATGAGGTAGCTACGAAAAGAAAGCGTACTCGAGAAACCCTTCGGGTTCTACAGCAAGCTTTCCGGGTAAGTGCTTGATTCTTCAGTTACATAGAAGCGCTCCATCAATTTTTCTCTATTTTTTAACTTGTATAGTAGTGAGCACCATTGTCTGATTCTTTCAGGAATCTTGATGTGCATATTTATGGTTTGTTGGTAATAGATTTTTCTAATATCATTTTCAGCCACACACTTTATGGAATCCACAACTCTTCCCTTTTTTTAATCACATTCTCAAAAAGGATCATTTTTCCCTTCGAAAAATCTGTGCCAAACTAGCTTTTAATGTGGATATCAGCATGTCTAATCACAAAGTAGCAGTTTTCTTTCTAGATGAATGTTCATTGAGACTTGCTCTGGTGATTATTAATTTCATTCTGACCTTGATTTAACTGATAGGGATGAAAGTACACATCTTCCACGATTGGCTTGTGAGAACGTAATTTTGGATGTCTTTGGTGGGCTGAAGTTATTTTTAATTAGGCACCCAAATGCATTTGTGCGTTGAACATCCCTGATTTTCTTCTTTCCCAAAAGGACTTATGTCGAATTTGTGTTTTTCTAGTCCTGCATATCCTCTTACGTCAAATTCTTCTTTATAGTCCCAAAGACGACTTAAATGATCTGTCTACTTTTGCATGTAGACATTGGACGAACTACCGCTTGAAGCTGATACAATTGAGAGGGGCTACAACTTAAGTACTGATCCAACAGGCCTGCCAAAAGTCCATGGGCTTCCAACCTCATCTATGTATTCTACTACCAGTGGTTCAACTGAATTTTATAATTCTCAGTCCAAAAATCCCAAATCCCGCAAGTCATCACATTCTGGTGAACTACACTCACCATTTTATGGAAATGCAGATTTTAATGGTGGGGGACGAAATTCTATTCCGGGCTTTTATCCAACAGTCGACGTGTAAGTTACTTGAAGAATGCGTCAGACCAAGTTCTTAGATTCTCACATTCATTTGATGCCAGCATTCTTGCTAGATGGAGGACCATACTTCATAGAACAAGTGTGGATGTTTTGGAAAAATTTTTCTTTCAGATGAACACACTAAAATTTACCATATTTTTCCCCTCAACACGGTTAATTATATAAGCATGGCTTATCAAATGCTCCAATAAGAACAGAAGCAATATCTTCCCTCCTTTAGAGGTATGCTGCAAATTTTTACTGCTTTTTTGGGGTGTAGCAGATGTATCTAGTTCTTTCACTCCTATAAGTCGGCTCACTTTGCTTATTTTACATTTTATCAATGACATTTAGCGTCGCCGGTATTGCATAGTGCAAGGCTTCTTACGAGGCTTGCTTATAATACATGTTTTATCAACTAACAGTGGTACGCTTTTTTAACGATGTTTTGGGAGTGCAATTAGTCCCATATTCTGATTGATGTATAATTGTCATCTTGTTTACATGCGAAAATTTTGTTGGAACCTCTGTACTGATGTTCTGTGGTTCAAATTGACATGTCCCATTCAGAATTGTTGACTCAACTTTGGCTGATCAGGCCAAGTCACCATTAGATTCACTGTATGACATAACCCTGTATAAATTTTGTTGATCTACCTCGTTTAAAAGCTAAGATGAGATAAATTTATTTATTTAAATTATGTCTCCATCGCTTATCTTTACGCACCGGCTAGAGCTATTTTTTTTTTTATTCATGTGATTTATTTTTCATAAATGGTTGATAATGAGAGTTGAATAAGTTTGATTTGTCTTTATTGATGTCTTGGAAATGAGGCTAGAACCTTGTACCTTTACTACTGAATTCATTTTGATGTAACATTTTTTACAATTAATTTGCAAGTACAGATTTTATTTTATTATTATTATTATTATTATTATTATTATTTTTTTTTTTTAAAATTGAATTGGTACAAAAAGATAGTTGTTTTCTTATGATTTATTGTTGCCAAATATTGTTTTTGGCAATAGCTAATTATATGAACAGAACTGTTTTTCTGTACAAATTTTGTAGAAAAAAAAATCTATACTTACAAGCATTACTCTCTCTCTCTCTCTCTCTCTCTCTCCTTTTTTTTTTTTTTTTTTTTTTTGGGGGGGGGAAAGAGGCAAAAATTTTGAAGGTGATAGGTTGATTGAATTTATTTATGTTTGAGCAAAAATAAGATGCTAGCATTAGAAATGGCAATTTACCCGGTTCTATCCCGCCTCGGATGGCGTAAAAAACCCGTCCCGTGATTTATTATTATTATTATTTTTTTAGGTGAAATATTTTGTTAATCGGCTAATGTTCACCTTGAACATGAAAAAAAGCTCTTCACGTCCAGCTTAACATAATCAATTTAGAATTAAGATTTTTCATAATATTTCATTTCATCAAACCATATTTCTGATCTGGAAATAACAATTTTCTTTAAAATAAAATTGCTTCATGTGAAGGTAAATTGTTCTGTTATTGTCAGCATGCCATAAAATTACAAATTTCGCAATTAGTCTTTCCACTCTCTCCTGTGCCCACAAGGTTTGATTCTGTGGCACATTAGTTTGGGTAGACTTATTCCTTGTATTGAAGCTTTAATTTATTTAAATATTTATCGTGCAGATTTAAAAAATAAATATCTGATCATTTCAAGCTTTCAATTATTGAATTGAATCCTCTATTTCAATATTTTTCGGACATGCTATTAGAACAATAAGTAAATGATTGCCAATAATTTCAAGCTTTGAATTATTGGATTGAGCAATTACACGTGTAAAAGAATTTTGGAAAAAAAAAAAAAAGGGGTCAGCATAGGGGGCAAGCACCCGCCCCGCCCCAGTTGGAAGGCAGGGTGGGAAAGGGTATGGGGGAAACGCCATCCTGTCTCGAATCCGTCTCGTTGCCATCACTAGCTGGCAAACACACACGAAACAGCCCATAGCCAAATAGCGATGTCTAATGTTTTGTTAACATTGTTCTTAATCGAGCATCCAAACTTGAAACTTGGAAATGTCTGAATTATGCAACAATTGGTAGTAAAATCTAGATATAGCAATGGGACGGGTTTGTGCCCCGTTCCGTCTCGTCCTGCTCCATCCTAGACTAGGCGGGCGGGAACGAGGCAACTTTTTGTCCTGTTTAATTTTTTTATTTTTTACGTTTTCAAAGTTTTGAGTTATGTTATTATTAGAGAATAAAATACAAATTCAAAATGAATTTTTAACGGGTGAACTGTTTAGAAATAAAATTATTTTTAATTTTTTTCCTTCAACGGGCAGAGCTGTTTTTTTTTTTTTTTTTTTTTTTGCCATCACTAGTAAGATCCAAAATACTTACCCCAGTCATCCTACATAGCAGACCCAAATTTAAAAAACTCACCCTCAATATATATTTTATTGCTTTAATATAATACTAATCTTAAATTATTCTACAAATACGATTTTTTTTATAACTAATTTTCAGTATTCTAATTCTAAAAGGATGCATTGGTCAAACGACACGATCAGGGTAACATCGAAACATCGTATGGTAAATAACTGCATGCAACCCTTGACGCAAATAAAAGAAATTAACCATATGCACCCTTTGCGAACAGTTGCATTCCCTCTCGATTGTCATCGTTCAAAATGTATATATAATACATTGGCCACCATAATCTGCATAATTATTTCTTCTTAAGAGACACAGATATAGATTGGGAATATGGATGCCGAATATGGTGGATGGGGTGCAGGATCGGTGGCGACAATGCTGTGCATCATTTTGTGTTTGATATTTCTGCCGCTAGCGATGGGGCCGGGGTCGCTGCAGCCGCCACCCTCATACGCGTTCCTCATTTTCCCCGTCTTGATGGCTGCCATTCTCATTTTCCTCACCCAGGCTTCAAAGAATCGTTAGTCTGTTCAATTCTACTGTCACATTGAAATTTGTACACAACTCTTTTTATGATGGTTTTGTTATTTTAGACACAAAATTTTACAGATATTAATGGCTTCTTCTTTTTCATATTTACGATTATTGTTATTTGATGTATAGAACGAAACTGTAGCAACCCGAAAGGCATCGATGGCAATGTGCGTGAGATCAATTATTCCGGTCATAACCCAAAATGGGATTCCCCATATACACATTGTGCCATGTCTCCAAAAATATTATACAAGGAAAATAAATGGCTATCTACATAAAAAAAAAAAAAAAAAAAAAAAAAAAAAAAAAAAAAAAAAAAAAAAACCTACTTAATTTACAACTAAACAGAACCTTCAATCCAAGGGGGATAAACTGGTACATTTCCTCCAGTTGTCTATCCAGTACACTAAAAATCTTCTCCAAGAGTTGCATCGTTTATTTATCTATTGAAGTTAAAAGTTTTGTCTAACACCCAGATTGTATCTCAGTACTATAAACAAAAACATCTCAACGGTCAGCATCTTCCTGAATCTCGATCATGTACCGGGCCAGTCAGTACCCATATGTGAATCGACGTCAACCTGCAGACAATAATCTTAAACATTATAATAAAAATGCTAAAAGTTTCTCGTTCAAATGGAGTCCCAATTGAATGTTTACTACATAATACTTTAGCTTCTTTTTTCTTTCTCGAAGTGTCCAATCCTTGTACCAAACATGGGATAAAGGTACAGACCTGCTCACAGAAGTTTGCTGGAATATCGAATTCTGTGGCTGAAACATTTGCAAGTTCTTCAATTGTTTCCTATTAAAACCAGAGGTCTTGCTAAAATCAAATTATAATTATCAAAAAGGGTCATTTAACTAATGAGACGTGCCCAAGAAATTGAAGAATCCAAAGCATCCACTCAGCTCACGAATTTGCATGCAGAGATGCCTCCTTTTAATGGGGCATGGAATTTGCTATATTCAATATAAACCTGAATGCAGTTACGTTGGCATGTATTTCGCAAACATCATATACCAAACAAATGGGAAGTTCAGTTCTTCATTTTTCTTATCAACATAAACTGTAAGTATCCAGCATTCTAAGATCTTGCCATATACTGTTTACATGGATGTTCCTCAAGATTGTTGGGGGTGCAGATGGGAAGAAAAATATTGAAGCAAACAGGCATGTTTGAAACCCCACCAAAACGGAGAAGTTTTGAACAGAACTATCACCTGTTCGTCAAGGTTGACCGAAGAATTTCCTATTCCAATGGAGGAATCTTCAGTAATTCCTTCAGTAGTTTCCATCAAGTCCTGAAAAATGAAAGAAGTGAAATCCACACTGAAGAATAAGGATTGCTACCGTGAAGCAAAGACAATCATTTGACTGCAAGAACCATCAGGACAAGTTGTATCAAGAGCACTCCTTTTTGAAATGCAGATAAAAAATAACATTGATCAACAGAGGCTGTCTTGACCAAGCGTGAGGCGAAGCATGATCAGAAAGACATCATGCACTCCTCTACCCAACTGTTTCCCAGATGGGGCAACTCTCTGGTTCTCCCTTTGCTGCTCATTCCCAGTTTAAGATTTCTTGCTTGTCAAAACATAATAAATTTCAATAAAGAGCACCACTGCAAAGCCCATCGTAACCTAGCAGAAGTATAATTTTGGTTACTTATGATATTGCCCAGAGTTTGTAGCTTTGTGCCATGCACTTCGGATGAATATCTAGACCATCAAGGATCCTCTCAACATCCTTATTCTTTCTTTACTTTTTTTTTGAGCAGATACAAGGAAACTACTCTACTCACTGCTGTGATAACAGTACATAATGGAGCGAGATTTATATAAGCTCATGCTCCCCATTCTAGACATATAAATAATCAAAACTAATCATATGAAAAGATCCTAGAAAAGGAGCAGCTGAAAACATAATTTTAGGCAAATATCTGATTCTCTAGGTGAGGTTGATATAAGCTCATGCATTCTACACATATAATCAAAACTAAACATATAATAAGATCCTTGACAATGAGCGGCTGAAAACAAAATTCTAGGCAAATATCTGATTCTCCAGAATATAGATCCAAATCCTGGTCTGGCCATTCTTTACTATGACAAGATGGCTGCAGAATGCGAACTCTGGACTTGCATGGTAAGAAGTGAGTCGGTGTTGCCATCAAAGAGAGTTTACCAAAAATAATGTACTTGAGCGAATTTCTAACAATTTTTCCAAATTGAAAGTCCTTGCTCCATTATTGCAATATGCACAACCTAGAACGCATGTGGTCTCAATCACTATGGGTTTGCAGAATCCCAGATTTTGATAAATCCACTTCATTGATAGCTTCTTATGTAACCAGAGATAAACTGGAGGAAGACTGTATTCTAGGATCATCTAACAAAATGATGATTCCAGGAGCAAAACTACCTAGACGAAAAAAATATAATAACCAAATATGGAGCAAATTTGAATAAGCAATAGTCAATCGAACAAACAGTTCCTGATCCAACTGCAGATAGATCCATTTCCCATTACAGTTACCCAGGCACTTTTATAACCATTATATGTCCTTTTCGCCTAACATTTTATAATATCTAAAAAGAGGGAATCGATGTCCTGCTGAATGATATCATTGAAATATCTTTCTTCTCTTCCAAAATTTATTGTTTTGATGGGGGAGTGTCTGGCAAGTCTTGTTTGTTAGCGATTCATCTTGTGATGTCAGAAATTCAGTCTTGGTTGTAAGCTTTGTTGTCAAGCTGATACTGAAATTTAGCCCCCATTTGTTTCCCATTATTTGCCCATTAAAATGAAAAATATGACCGTTATTCATCACATCAAGTCACCATATTTGACTTTCTATTTCTTGTGTGGGGCCCGTAACGACTATATTTTTCATTCTCATTTTTACATTAATATGTATCAAACGGAGCCTTAATGGGAATAATATCCTATATGAAGTCGTGTATTGTTAATCCCTGTCTTTCAAAACATGTGTTGGCAAGTCACAAGATGCCATCACGTATTAACTCAGTTTAAGCCAAGATATGACATGACTATCTGTGCCAAAGTCAGTATTACTTTTGAAGAGAGTGTTGCTACCTGCGCAGTTGGTCTAATTGAAAATTTTGCAGACTCCAATAGTGCAGGTTGTGTCTGTTCTGGGGTTCTCTGTCCAAACAAAAGAAAAAAACACAGTTTATTTTAAAATTACAATTGCGAAATTATATAACAAAGTAAATTTTCATTCACCCCTTTTCTTCAAACAATATTCAACCTAGCTGCATCTTAAAGTAATCTCTTATATATTAGTTTCCATCTGCATCTTAAAGTAATCAATCTCCTATATATTAGTTTCTTAGTTTCCATCTCTCAATCAGAATATCTTTCAAAGTTAAAGATTCCACCCATCGCATTCTACCATCTAAGACAGATTATAAGGAAAAAAATCTAAAATCCATAAATAGTCAAATAATTGACTGATTAGTATCTCCTGAAGCCAGCGCCAAAGATCTCAAATCCTGTAAGTTTATAATAGATATTATCCACACACAATTACCTCCTCATCCTGGTTGTGATAGGAACTTTCAGGTTCATTGGCAGCAGGCTTGATCTCAGGAGTTTCCTGGTGAATTTATAGACGTCATAAAGGGTTTGACAATAAGGTAAATACAATTCTTCCCCCGTCATGACAAAAATGATAAGTACTAAGCATCATAAAGGTGAAGTTTAAAAAATGAGCAGAATCTTCCCATGTAATATTATTTATTAAGTGAAGAAGAATAGGTATAAGTTGAGCTGCTTCTCAGATACTCACTGGCTCACTTTGATCAAATGATATTTGCCTCTGTCCTTTTGTAAGATCCCTCAGAGTTCCCTAAAAACACAACTAAGTAATGAGAAAATAGAATGGATTAAAATATTAATAGATGTTAATTTCATCTCTAACTAAAAACAATAACCAAAGTGGATAAAGGGATCATATACCTTGTTCGCCCACATCAATCCACAAGCATTGCATAAAGTTCTAGGACCTGCTGGCCCCCGCCGCATTGCTGGAGTAGAATTTTCAGTAACCCCACAATGAACACATCTACGTAACCTATTAAAAGAATGAGAAATGACAGGTCCATACAAAAGAATGAGTAAGAGAAGGTCACAATATAACACTAAAAAATTCAGGGGCTTCGTATTTTCCAGAACTTTTCTAATTCCTGAAATTTGAAAGAAGATTGTTACTGGGCCGTCAATTAAAATTAGTTGGGGCTTGTTTTTAATTATATTTATCATTAAAATATTCTAGAAGTAAGCAACATATCCATTTCTTCATAGACGAAAAAACTAAGAAGCAGAGCGACCATGGGAGATAACTGATGCACCTAGGTGTTCTGAAGAAGAAGATGCAGAAAATTGTTGCTATGTTGATATTTGTCAACTTAAATTACCCAACAGATGATACAGACAAAAATACAATGGAAACAGCTGCCGAACAGATTTTTCTATCTGCTCTTCAAGTTCGAGATGTTGTATTCAAAAAGAAGCCACTTGTTAAAACATTAAGTATCATACTATAGTTCCTTGGAAGGTTCAACAAGAATGCATTTCCGTTTTATAGAGAGAAAATTACAAAAAAGGGCTGGCACGCATAAATTATTGCAACCACGAACCATGATATAGAATGCTACATGCTAAATGAAGAACAAAAGTAAAAATTGGGACATGAAATGTTCTAAAGTATGATAAACAGGGCGTTGAATTAAGGAGCTATTATCCAGTGAAGAATATCTCCATACTCACACTGGTTCTGCACGAGAAGTGTCGTGGCCTGAAACCCAAATATCATTCGATGTTTTGGGACTCTCCTTTACTGAGGCAAATTGGCCATTTTTACGGTGCATCCTGACAGATAATTCAGTCAAACATAAAAATAATAAACAAAGGCATATTTTGTCGAATGTAATTGAATAAAGAGCAGTTTCCTATAACTCAATGTACTCCACTCAAGTTTTCCATTCATTTTTGTTAAGCAAAGTAGGAACACTACGGAGCAATAATGCCTCGCCAAAGTTCCTCTCCCATTGTAATTGACCACAACAAAGTGCAACTTTCTAAAGTTCCCTTCTCGACTTTCGTCAATGTCAGGATTTAGCCAAGGAACGTTAGCCAAGAATGCTCATAACTAAACAAACCAACCATGGCAGAAATTCTCTTATAGAGCAACATAATGAAAATAATAGCATATAGTACTTTTTAGGTTGCTATAATACTTTTTAGGCTGTAAATAGAACTCACTTTTGAGCAACTTCTTTTCGGCAAGTGTACCTAATCTTCTTCTCAAAGCATCTTTCTTTCCGCTTCTCACGGAACCTAACAAGAGATGCAATTCTCTGAGAAACAGTAGGACTCAAACCATCATCTACAGCCTGCATTCCATTTCACATGGTAAGAATAAAAGTACCTCAGTAGATTTTGTCCATAAAAATTAAATTAAAAACCATAAACCAAGATATAGTCAATACCTTATTATTCTGTCGTAACAGAAATTCTGAGCTGGATACACTAACAGGCATTTCTTGGCCACCCAAAAGCAACAACACTGCTTGCACCTACAAATTTTTTATATACACAAACGAACTATATCACCCATAGCATGCAACAGTCAATCAATTAATCTATCTATCTACCTATTTACACACTCATTCAGCTGATATAATAATCATCATCAATAAAATAAAGAAAAACACAAAAAATAGCATAAAAGCATGAAATTCCATAAAACAATCCAAATGAAATCAATTAATCAATCTATTTTATCCATCACTCATTCAGCTAATATTAAATCAATTTTCGTCAGTAAAATAAACAAACAACAAAGAAAACTAGCACAAAGGCATGAATTCCATAAAACAATCCAAATGCAACAGTCAGTCAATTAATCAGTCAACTTATGTAACTTATCCATTTATTCACTAATTCAGCTACTATTACATCAATATTCTTCAGTAAAATAAACAAACACGCAAAAATAGCATAAAAGCGTTAAATTCAATAAAAGATTCCATTAATACCAATGCTCACGCTGAAAATTATAACAAAAATCAATTTATTTATTTTTTTCAAAAAACCTTTTCAGGAGTGACGGCAGGAAAAACATAAACTTCCCCTTCAAAGGATATGGTGAGCTCACTAGTCCTCGATGCAGGGGTTCTCGATTGATAATTTACAGGAACCGCCATTGGTGCCGACATTTCCTCACTACTACTCATCTTCTCCTCACCGCCGCCACCGATATCACCGGCTTCGAATCCTCCGCCGTTGTCATGCACTCGTATTGGCATGATCATATAGTCCTCACCGTAAGCCCTCGGTTTCATCGCATCCATTTATTTATATATACACATATGCATGCATGTATATAGTTACATACACATATATGTCTATATCTGTGTGTATACTGATTGTATATGTGAAAAAACGGAAGACAAATTCGAACCCTAACCCTAAGGAAACGGTGTACAAAATTGTCGAGACAATGATTATTGTTCAATTAAAAATTGATTTTGAAGTAATTAAAATCTGATTATGAATAAGTGATTATTGTGTCAATGGACGGAAGAAAGAAAAGTACCTATACTACAAATTGGGGGAAGCAGAGGAAATCACGGCCGTTCGATTGAAAAGGGATCACGTGATGGGGACTGAGGTGGGGCCCAGTAACGGATAGAATCACGCGACCGGTGGGGTGGCGGAGGTTTTGTTTCTGTTTGATTCGCTCACGTGTCAATTAAAGATCAAACGGTGGATTATGGATCCTATTTGTATTTCTTTGATAAATTGAATAGAATAAAATAAAAATGTAATGTAGATAAGAAAAAAAGAAAAATGAGAAAGGAATGTGTTTTTGGGCTTGTTTGAGTTTTATATGTGGTTGAGTTAATAATTTGATTGAAATGAGGATTGATAAGTGTTAAATATATTTTTATGCTTATTATAAACTTGAATTATATTTGTAAATTTAAGCGAATTTTTACTTAATTCAATGTACATAATGTCACGATGGATGAAATTCAAATTTGGAGTCATTTGGAACAAAAATAAGGATTTTAAGGGCCTATTTGGTAGTTATAATAATTGATTTTTTGACCGTTAGAGAGTAAAGTAAGTCCTATTTGTGAGTGAAGAAGTCAAAAATGAGGGTTGAAATAGTGAAATAACGGTCAAAAAATTAACTTTTTGAAATGAAAAATTGCTGCCAAATGAGGGTTAAGTCTAATTGGAGTTGATCCTGAGGATTTCATGGGAGTGATGAGAAGTATTAAGAGAGCAATTAGATGAAAAGATGCATGTTTTGAAAGCGAAATTCAACTTATGAAAGTTCGAGGACTAATTTGCAAACATTTCAGAATTTGAAGGAGGATCAATTTGGATGATTATGGATGTTGATGGATCAACTTGGAAGCTTTTGAAAGTTTTGGAATCAATTTGAAAATTGGATCAAAAGGGACCGAAACCGAATAAAACCTGAAAGGAGAGCACGATCCATCCAAATTCCAATGCCCAAGCCACACCCCTATTTGTCATGGTTAGAACCCCCCCCCCCCCCCCCCCCCCCCCCCCCCCCCCCCCCCCCCCCCCCC